GTTGACGTGCTACCTGCAACGGATAACCGTAGCGCTCTGCTTAGAGGAAGCTAAGCTAAGGTTACCGACCTTACGTTCGTCACAAAAATCATTACCATTGCAGCGGATCGCAATCCGCTGCACTTATAACCTTATCCAAGGTAAAGAGGATCTTTCGCTTAGAATTGAAATTGTATTAAATTGTCTTATTTGCTGCAGAGATGCCAATATAAAAAAACCTTAAGTTTCCTTATTAGTAAAGTAATACCTAATTAATATAATGAAACCTATTTAATATACATTACTACTTGCAATCCTGCCACGTAGTGGCTTCTAGTTACGGTGTAGCCACATCACTGTGTGATAACACCAGCTTCTGTAATCCACACTTATGTACGTTCACATCATCTTGTGTGACCCACCCTTTCATACAAGGGTATGTGAAACCCCGTTACACCGCCATGAATACCATGGTTGTCGCCTCCAATATTGCTCAATGGAAAAGGGGTGGTTCACTTTCGTGTAAAATTTGTTATGACCAGGTGAGTATACCAGGGCTGTAACCAGTGACTGATGCAGTAGATGGGAAACCTCATTCGTAAAGCCCATAAGATTCGTGTCTTGCCTTGGTAAGCGTTCGCCGGCGCTGATGTTGCTGACGATTCGGATCGTCTTTGGTTTTGTATTCTTAGATAAGATACAGGATCGATCGTCACATCGCGTTTCACACCAGTTGGAAAGCTTGACCTTATGATGAGCTGGACATCAAATTTGTAGCTGTGAGCGTCATATTCTCAAATCGAGACGGGCTGTACACGGTAGAAACTTGACGTGTTGGAGTGACAAGCCGACGTCCGCATCATGCTTTGTCATGGCAATGTCAAATATAAGACGACCCTCGATTCAAATTTCTGCTTTACTGAAGCTCATAAGATAGCCTTAAAATGTGTGAGATGGTGGATTCCCCTCATGCAGCTCACACATTGAGCACGGTATGCATCGGTACACCCGCCAAATCTCCGATCATAGTAAGTGTTTCTCTTACCACTGCTGCTCTCTGCAAGAGCGGTAATTTGAGTTATGATATGTGTGGGAATTTAAAGCGCTAGTGGTACAAAATTTTGATGCTAACGTTATCGTCGGAGTGAGTGGATCACCCGCACGCATAGGCGTTTAGGGGAACAGTGAGTAGCTCAAGATACCCTGAACACGTGGGCTGCTACTAACGTCAGCGTAATGTAGATAGTCCGACGATGAATTTTGGTAAAGCTTATAGATAATAAATATTTAATCAAAAAATCTAAATATGTATATATCACTCTTTAAAACGCAGAGCCAACAAGACAGCTAATTATCTTAGAGCTTTCAAGTCTACTTCAAGTGGAGCAATAACTTCATCATCCGAACGTGTTCACCCAGACTCTTGAGTCTTGACCAAGACTTTCTCTATGCATGACGCCGGTGACTCTGTCGCAATCATAAAGGGATATCTCTTAGAGTTGTAACTATATTTGATATGGATCTACAGGTTCACGTATGCTTAATGCAAACGTATAGGTCGCAACTTTGTGGATATTTGTGAGCACTATCTCTCTGTAGCCACGGATCGGCGGATGAAGCTGCTGTTTAATATTTGGGCTTGAGCTTTTATTCCACAATTATTTTTGGTTTTAAACAGTGACCACCCTAGCAGTGTGAAGTGGGTTTAATTTATCGTTAATACTGTCAAACGGTAAAAACAAATCCTTTTACTCAAGCTCATTCCAAATATACAGTATCAAGAATCGTCATGCATATTATGATTATTCTGTTTGCTGATATAAAATGCTCGCCGAATATATAGAGCCTGATGACGACGTCAAGCCGCTGGTGCGGTGAGGTACTAGGATAAGCCTTACATCGTTCAGCATTGGCATTATCGTATTCCAATACACCAAGTATTTCTATTATATCTCATACTGGAAAGTTTAATTCACTGTGTTTATATACCCAGATAAATGCACAAAAGCTAATTTCACTATAAAAATTGTGAAGTCAATCAAATCTGATTTTATATTATGTGGTCATGATCGCACTGGGTAGAAGCTATTGTGACAGAAGACAACTTTTATCGAAATGTTAAAACTCATATGACCCCACTGGGCAACCATCAATGTCTGAAGCCCACTTATACAGAATCTGTAACGGGTGTTGCCGTACACTTTGAGCTGAGGTATTCTTAACTCTACAAGCCCGCGCTTACAAGTGCACGATCAAAAAATTCGCGCGCTCTTAACAGGAGTAAAGCCGAGACCTGTCAGATAAGTGATGCTTCTAGTTTGCATTGCTGTATCAAGAGTATATATATTTGGAGTCAAATCTTTCAAGAATAGTACTTAATCGATACCTATTATTCTCTTTCACAAAAACCTTTGTGCGCTTAGTAGCCCACGCTTACCTCGAATCCTTTCTTTTCGGATATTATGGTATGATTCACATTTGGCTATTGAACAAATTTTGAGGCTCGTATTGAGTGTGTAAGAGGGCACTGTTTACATCAGCCCCACAGACACAACACACAAGCTAGTGCGACGAGAACGCAATTTCTGACCCTGAGTGAGAAGGACAATGCCAACTTGAAGGAAAGATGTAACAGGGTTTCACGTGCCCTGATAGGAAGGGGGTGGGTTCTGCAAGATGGTGTGACCACACAATGGTGTGGTTCCACTTAAGCAAGAAGTCAGTACGCGGTTGGACTACCAGTAGTTATTCATCTGAATAAATCATACTATATAGATAGTAAAACTACAGATTTAGATTTAGGCGGTTTTGACGCAAATACAACTGAGAAATACACTTAACATTTAAAACGGAAGAGTAAATTAGCCTTGGATTAAGGTTGTAGTCTTGGAGTAAGCGACTTACGATCCGCTACACTCGTACTGGTTCTAAGTAAAGAACGAAGGCCACCAATCTTAATAAAGCTTCCTGTGAGCGAAAAAGCTACGGCGGCCCCGCTGCAGAAGAAGAACAACGTAAGGTTTTGACGGCAAATTGACGGCAGTATCAAAATAACCTTGTGACCTCTAGTGCTACATGCAGACCGCATCAAGGGCTCCTACATGTTTTACTAAGATTAATACAATCAAGGGTTCACTGAGGCTGAACCTCAGCTTAAAATTTATAGAAGATATTGCATTTACGATGCTTAAACTCCGGAAGAATTATACTTCGATTTTCGAGGAACGTTCCCAGCTAAAACGACTGACCTACGTCACCGCTTCAAAGGACAGAGACACATCGGTCTCGTCACCAGTACAAATCTCCAAGTAGGAACTAGCATTTTGTATCACAGAATGTTTGTGACTTCATGTAAATGTTTCATATGCACGTGGGAACACCGTACCTTAAACCCTTTTCTATAAGTTTTCACAATGCACGCAGGAGGTACATCTATGCACCTCCATTTAACGGCTAAGTGTAGCACACAACAGAGCGAAGCCAAAATGCTGTGATGTATACCTTGTTAGTAAGATGCTTGTGCAGGCTTTTGATATAAGCATCTTTTACACGACTAACCGCTCAATTTTATATGAATCCCTTCAATCTTATGCCATAACTAAATTCTATCTCACGAGGATGTTTACTAAACAAACACGATCCCTTTTACCAAAATTTTAATGGTGAATTTTAAGTATGTACAATATATTGGTTAATTAGATTGTGTATAAGTTGATATGATCTGCCATAAATTGGCTACCTGTACAATACTGCCACAACTCGATTATAGCGTGCCAACGAGGGATAGGCAAAGCATATGATTATGGTATGATTAGGTAAACAGCTTCCAAGCTTTAGTAGTAAAATCAAAATATCCAAAGTCGATTAGTTATGACATCCATTAGTTGATATTCATACTCCATTAATATTGCCAGATGCTGGCCAGCTGCAATTTTAGATCTGCATGTTGATTTCTCGCCCGATAGTCCGAAATCCGACAAGTTCTGTAGTAATGTAGTAAGGCTTAGCATAAGAGAGGCGATAAATGCGCTGTGGGCATTCTTGCATTTCTGTAAGAACGTCAAGCCTAAAAAGAAGACAATATAGAAATTTGCCGAAGGCATTAGTATTCTTGTCGATTGTACTTTATGTTGTGCAGAGATGATTTTGCGACTTTTTGTAATCATACCAAACATTGCTCTTCTCGACCACTGTAAACTGGTGATAATTTGGCAGCTTCTTCCACTTTGATTACAAATCTTGACTGTGTTTGATTGTAATCATTCAGTTTGATCACATGCCAGTTGCATGAAAGTACAGTAGAAAATGGTGTGTGTACAGAATGCCAGCTTCAATAACATCCTCATTTCTTCATTTCGTCTGCCACACATCTCCTGTGCCATGTATTTCGTCCGATCTATCCTCGTCACCGTTTTGTTCGCACGTACGTGCATTGGCACGCCTGACGAAGTGATTCAACAAGGAAATCCAAATTTGAATGTTCATCCTGTAAATGTGATAGCAAGTTCTGCCTTTCGACTAAAGAGCGGCCTGAGACGATAAAGCTGGCCTGGCTATTGGCTTGGGTTTGTGATCAGCCATGCTGATATTCTGGATTTTGTGAGCCAGATTAATAGTGCTAATTTTATATTTTGAGATACTATTATTTTATACATCCCTAGATTAAGACAAAAAACAACGGTATACAAGCCGAACCGATCCTGATAAAGGCTTGGGTTGATAAAGTGAGTAAATTGTCGCTTTGAGATGCTATTTCAGTCGGTGAGGATTCAAAGCACGATATAAATTTTAGGCACACAACATTTCCTTAGCCTTGTATGTCTTTTTACGATCTTACATATACAAAGGGGTAATAAAGAATGTAAGAATTGCCAAAGGTTCACATAACGGCTTTTTGTGAAGGATCAGCCATTTTTTTTATCCATCCAATCACATACATTATTTACACATAAACTACTCCCTTCACAGCAACAATTCGTAGAATAGAGTGTGACAATCTTGTTAGACGCTCGAATTTCGACCTTAGTCTGGAACGGTTGAGTTCCATGTTGAGATGTGCACTGTCGCTGCACAGTTTATCGTGACGATGAACAAGTGACGGAAGAGCCCACTTCGCTGAAGAGTCAAACAACAAAGCTATTTACAATTAACAATCTTTTTTGACGAAATTCAATGGAATAATCTTCAATCGGTGAAAGTTCGATTGTCGATAGCAGATCATTTTCGACGCGGCGTAATCTGTGTAGAAGCACTCTATATTTATCGCCCAATCAGGCGGATGGCTGACTGAGCATTCAATAAAGAGGTGTGGTGTGGCATTGTTTTCATTGCATGGTCAAGAGTAACGTCGGTACCGGTGGTGCCTTCATTACTCTTCATGTCCTCAGCAGTCTTGACAGGCTGTGAGATCATTCGTTACTGAACATTTGATGGCAGTCAGCTGACTAAACACAGCCAAACCATACACAGATCGAAATCGTTCAATGAGGACAATTGTCCGACACCTATATTCCCTAGCACGTTATGTTTGCATATCTCAAGAAAATGCAGAAATACCAATTAGCGATGAACATCTTCCATACCCGCACACACCGAACACATGTGTTATCAAGACATTTTGAGCTTTGAAAGTAGACCGTATGGTGTTGAGTCGTGAAGTGCTGGGCAGCTGATTGATCGTGCAGGCGGCAGTCAAAACTACCGCCCTCAACTATTCTTTTAGCAGCCACTGATGATAGACCATTGCTCATACCATCTCAATGACTGAGCTATTATCTCGCTCAACCTGCCTTGTTGCCGCGGTGTACCAAGTTGTACGCATAAATTTTGGAACCCCTTGCTGTAAATTCATAACCACTATTGATTTGTATGCATCGAATACGCCTATGGATATGAGCTTTCCCAAGCGACATCAATTAATTCAGACTAAGGACCATTTTACTCTCTATATAAAGCAGTACGCTTTTGCATGGTGCTCCGAATAGTTCGCTGAGGTAACCAGATTGCAAGCTTTGCTTTTTGACTTTATGGAGATAAGGCTAATCAGTTCAATGTGAAGTATTTATGTGAGATAATCAGTCCCGATCACGCGATTAGATGTCGTGGTGAATATCTCGACAGACTATTTCCCGCAGCCACAAACTTCAAATACCTTCGGAAGGTGAAAGCCACGGCCCACTTTCAATGAATTTTAGTTTAGCAACACGGCCAAAAATCTGTGACACAAAGTTGAGTCACTGCACGTCTACCCAGCGCGCCTTTAATGCCAATACTGAAAGCGGCTTAGGGTCGAAACCAGAAATATAGATGCATACTTCATTAGCGCGTTATTCCAGTCCTCGTCATTTTATTGACCAACGCCGCAATCTTGAAAAAAAAGCTCCTCTTATCATTAGTACATTAATGCCAGATTCGATTGTCGGAAATTGCAGTTATCATATTCGAATTCGAAACCAGTCCCAACAGTCGGGCAGCCATGTCGTCACCCGCAGACATCAATTAAACGCAACTGGCCCTGATGACCCTCACTTTTTAATTCATTGTTTGGGCTTGTGCTCGACCTCAGCGCACTCGAAGTACCGACTTATTGTCAACTACCAACGCGGCCTTGACGATTTCGATTCTTGTTGAGGCGCGCGCCGACTTCGCTTCGGGTGCTGCCGCGAGTGGTTATCGGGGTTCTTCGTACAGAAACGCCGACCGTGAGATCTATCGTGGCAGCTGTGGAACTATACACAGTTTGCACTGGTTTGAAATACTTTCTTTTTGTTTCTTACGCTTCTGAATCCTATTGTACTCACGACTTAGTGCCTTTTTGACCTTACAGAAATCTACGTTAACCCGTGCATCAATTTTCTTCAGAGTCGCATCATACCCTAGCAAAAGCTTCCCAGAAAGAAAATCGTACGCCTATCTTCTGTGATCTCACCTCGCACAAAAAAGGCACGTCCAACGGTCGTCAAACTTAAAGATCCTCAGTGACTCAGCAGTCAAGGACGACTAGGTCGAGAACAACATCTTTGCAATGATTGCCACCTCTTTGAGATAAGCGGTCTTCCTCTGGCTTGAATACCACTGCCTTAAGATCAGCGAACTTCCGATCTGTAGTCTGGCCGTCTTGTCTTATGGTTAATGAGCAATTCGTGGCGAGCGCCATACACACGAAATAGTCCTCGTTGGTGAAAGTTTTACTGTTGCTTGTCATGCTCGTAATCTCTAAGAGTTGGTGGGATACAATAAAAGTGAGTACCAAAAATTGTAACGACCGAACACCTGAAACTCATCCTGATACTGCTGCGGCTCTTGTTTGTCCATGTCATTTAGTGGCTCTGTGTGTATCACAACGAGACACGATACAACTTAACCTCGCAACAAACAACATCTTCCATAATTTGCCGTCCATATTCAATGGATGCTTTCGGCAGAGACTTTATCGACTACAAGAACAAAGTTTTTTATGTGAAACAATTGCACTTATTGTAATCCTCAGAATTACAAGTAATCTGCTTTCAAAATTTCCTTTCAGGCCATTCTTGTTATTTCCTAAGCATTATTCTCGCCGCCTTTATTTGCGCGTCAGCAGCCAAAATCACTGGGTGCACCAACGGTGCGTATTTACTCATTTTTTAAGCCGAAACGTCGTCCTCAACGTGGCAGGCTCAGCAACAACAGTCTATTGTTTGTAGATTGTAAACATCCGCTTTAGCTTCGCATTTTGGTTCATACTGCGAGGCAAAGTCTACAGGAGCTACGATTTCACCTCGGGCGCAAGTAAAGTTTTGCGCAAATCGACCCGAAGATCGACGTTTTGGGTTGTCGCGACGATTGTTAGTGTTCCCTCGTAGATCTACAGAATTCACCTCGAGTTTAAGTTCCTGAACCCTTGATCGTCGTTTTTGTTGCAAGTCTCGTCGATCGCAAAAGTATGACCAACACCTGGACTTTCGCTAGTTTTTTTAGGCGCTTGCTTGGCTCCGCGCTATGTCCTCATTCACGTCGACAGTTGCAATATTGAAAAGCAACTTTTCAGGAAAAGTCATTATCATGCCTTTCTGATTAGGACTTAGAGTACTGAAAGAACCAATTTGCGGAAATTTACCATTCTAATTGTTGCGGCTGTCGGCGGCGGAATTTTGATGATGATCACACTGCATTATGTGCTGCAGCTCGGTCAACTTGTTATTGCACAGGCTTGTAACCGTAGCAAAATGCAGGTGTGGACTCGCACAACAACAACTTATTAGTTTACGTACTGGTTTGTGATGCACCAATAGTACAATTCCTTTCTTACATCACCCCCGATAGCCATTTCTCATCAAGCGAATGCATATTGTCCCAGAGAACTTTATGGGTGGCTTTTCCAGCATTCTGGGATTCGACTACACGTTCGCTTAAATATTGGTGATTGCTTCTCGAGCAACGAACCTTGACAAGCATTGTGAGCTTTTGTCATCGTTGACTTTATGTAAGTAATGTGCAAAGAAGTACACTGCCTCTATCTTCGAACGTTGGAAATAATCCTTGCCTTCTTATGTCAGACTTCGGCGAAAGCAATGGCGTGAACTGTATTATTGTAGGAAGAGAGATGAACAATTCCAGTGGACTACGTCTATGAGGATCTGGTCCGCACATGTCAAATACCACCATACCATCCTCTCAATCGCCACTTATTGTTATAAGTTGTACTTTGCTGATTTAATAAGTACTAACCACTGAAGTATCGTCTCAAATTATAATTGTATTCTAAAAAGTTTGTTTCGAGATGGAATACTTATGTCGAATATATTTCATAAGTATTCGCAAAAGTCGTTCATTACTTGACGTTTGCAACTACCGTAACGATCGAGTTTACTGCGCATTTTAACTAATGCGCTTCGTAACCGAGCTTTGCATTACTAGTTTGGATTTCGGTCAACCGTTTGTGGAATTACTTATGCAACTGCAATAGGGTAAAGTAATACAGACTGAAGATTAAGACTCTGTTAAATGGTTACAATTTGACAAAAACAGTTATAATGAAGGTCGAAGTATAGAATAAAAGCGTTGAGAAACAATATTTGACCATTGTGATTCTGTTAACAATTTTCCGTAAGCTTACTCTTTTTTGCACGATCCATTTTCTTCGCAAGGGAAGCCTGCACCGCTTCTCAACACTAATTTTTAGTAGACGAGGCACCAAATTTCGAGTCTCTTGCCGCCGCAGCAACATTAAGCATATGAGAAGCCACAATTGTTCAACAATACTCACTCTTAAACGATGTCTCAAAACTGGTTCTCTCTCTCTCTCATCGTCCTTTCAATGAAAGCGGCATTAGGCAACTTTTTCCGAAATGGACGCAAGCCAGAAGGTAGCCTTAAACAATTGCTCTACTGACGCTGCTGAATCCGCTACAAAGCCTGAAAAGAAGAACGAGAAAACTCGACGCAGTGGGCATGACAAAGTGAACGAAGGAAAAGTCCGAAAGATGCGATTGGTTACAGGAAATTTGAGAATAAATGAAGCGCGCGATGATGCAGCTGGGCTGAGTATTTCCGAACGAAAATGAAATCAGAGAGAGGTTAAATGAATGAGATGAATTCTGCGAACAGAATCTTACTGCTCAATCTTTTCTACGCTTTCTTCTATACTTCTTTCTGCCTTCATAAAAAATGTTTTGTCACCTTGTCACCATTAACTGTAAAAATCACTACCTTAAGACTATATGAAATTACTTCAATTTGTCCACATCGCTTAAAGCGCTCTCATGTCAGCAATGATTCTCACGGAGTCAACTCCTGAAGCTCGTAGGCAATTGCGACGAGTGTTTGCGCCTTGCAGACACATGCGTCATCAGCAATGGATAGACCATCGGGTGAATGTGCAAACGCCACGTTTTGGAAACGATTACAGGTGTTGGAGAACATGTTCGTCATTGGTCGGTCGATCAAAGGGCGGTTGTGGTGATGATTACGACATTTTTTATACCCTACAGTCGGGAAACTATCGTTGACAGGACGGTGATACAAATTGCAGTCGGATCAACTAACGGTATCATTCTAGGGATAACTCCTCTATGCTAAGGGCCTTCGTTTTATCGCTACATTAAAGTTGCGATCACGGACAATTCCAATTTGAAATCCTGTCAGCTGACAGAGATATATGCAGACGTAAGCAGTCTAGATGAAGATTCTAGTGATAGCCTAAGTGGAGAAGTAAACTAGGAGATTTAAATGTAACCAATAGATCGGAAAAGCTGCAAGCAAAAACGCGGCAACTTCAAGGACTTAAAACTTAAAATAGACTCAGTTTAGACCTGAAGTTGTGGTATCTCGACAAAGAGCATGATAACAGACACGCTTGCAAGTAGCTTCGAGAATAATGCCCGCAGTGACCCACACACAAACGAAGGGGCCAAACAAGTGAGAAGTATAGAGAGTGATCAGATTGAAAGTGTCGAAAGTAAAGATCGAAGACCTATGGTCATCCGTGTAGGTGCTCGCGTTGAACGCGAACTGGATGGACTTTGGTTTCCTGGCACAGTGACAGACGCTGAACCCAATAGTGATTGCTACGAAATTGAATATGACGAAGGATTAAATCGCGAGAGTGAGGTGTCAGCTAGCGAATTGCGACTGTTTGACCCAAGTCGAATAGGGGAACCGCTGATGGAAGTGTTGGCAGTGACAGCACAACAGCGAGTAATTTTACAAAAGGATTCGTTGCTGATGCAGACACCCGACTATGACTCTAAAAAGGCACCGACAATTGTTTTGCATCATCAAGGCGAGACTAATGCAGGTAATGCATATGTTGAAACAAATGCATCGTATGATTATGCACTGAGTAAACGCTGTTGATAGCAACGGGGTATATTATTAATGGGCTTGAGAACAATGTCGCAACTGGAAATGGGTTACGCGGCATCCGCTGGCTGCGAGGCAACTCTTTTTGAGCAAAACTAGCTGGACCTAATTTAATCTCTACTCTGTTTACTTTTGTCAGAGACACCGAGTTCTTGACGTAACGCACGCTCATAATTCTCAAGTGCTTCGTCGAGAAGAACTTCCTGGCATCATATAATGCAGGTAATCAATTGTCAGTCCTAAGATTTGTCTTTTAAGCATGAGTGTATGACCTTCTTCTCGAGATCCACAGCTGTGGATATAAGATACTCTATCTCACGCTTGATACGCGCTTGTAGGGCATGCAAAGCCATTTTTCGCTCGTGGTGCTTGAAAACTGCATCTTTCATTCGCCGTTGAAATTCTTTTTCTACTTTTGTGATTCTTTCAGCCTGCTGCGTATTATCCGAGTGGTCACGCCATTTCTGGTGGTAGTTTGCTGACAATGAGGTACTTTTTGCTAGAATGGCGCGAAGCTTTGCTTCAATATTGGTTACTGGGCTACTTACTCGAAGCATCTACGTGGTTGCATCATTACAGGACAGCACAGAGATTTTTTCCGCATTTCACACAGCCCAGAGTCAACTCGAGAATACACAATTTGTGATTAATAAAACTCACCCTTTCATTGTCGCACGTGCTAGAAAGCTCACTCATCTGAGATTCGTCTTCCAGAACAGTGGGATTATCTAAAGTAAAGTCTTTCAATAAGCCACCAAATGCTGTGGATACCGCACGTTCCAGTAGCTCTCGCGTCAGCGTTTGCTGGTCGTTCTCCATTGCACGCCTCTCGTCACATATTTCTCTTGTTTCTGGCTGCACCTGCGGTACCTCAGTTTTCACTGTAGCACGCGAAGGCGCGTCGGTTGCTTGTCTTCCTTGTGCCTTCACCGTCACAACTGAATGTTGAGGCTGAGCTAACTTTGTCGACGAATTCCAACTTTGCTTCGGGCGATTGTGTTTGGTCTCAGACTCTGCAGCCATGCCTCCCTATGTTTGATTGAATGTAACAGTCTAGCGTGCACTGCGCAGATCGCTCTATCACACAATGTGTCTTTCTCCGATTTGAATATGAATTTATTAATCACTTTTATGCTGAGGGTCGCTTCCACACCGCCAACCATCCACTCGTAAATGCATTTAACTGTTGCGTAGCCTGATGCATAGCATCTAAATGCTCACTTAGCTTCTGCAGCGACGTTGTTGCCGCTGTGATAGCCGCTGCGCACTTCTCGTACGAATCAATGCGACGTTGAATCTCTTCCAGATACTCTTCACGACTATGCTCTGTTTCCTCCTGCAGCATATTTAAGTCTCTTTCTGGACCGTTTGGAGTACCAGGTACACCGCCGCCTGTAGACTCCGCCGTCAACGTCCTCAATTCTACAGCTTCGTTTCCTGTTGATGTCATAATTCCCACTTAATTGGGTAGCAAAAAATTTCTAATGTTATACGTATATCAAAGGAAATATGTCATTTAGTCCAGGGTCTGGCGCTCGATGAATAAATGGGTGTTTATTTTAAACACTGAATCTCATCAGTTGGTCTTCTCACTATACTAGTGCCTCGCTCTGCAGAAAATACTCGTTACGCGCTATCTCCTGGCAAAGGTTGTATGATTTCTCCACACCAAACGACTGCTCGGATTTCAATATGGCGTTAGCAACACATTGTAAGCCGGAGAGTGTTCAAGACAATCTTACCGTGACGCCAATCTCGACGAGCAGGAACAAGTAAAGGAAGACGAAGAGTGGAATACCCGGGCTTACTGCATCGCGAACGATTTTGTCGAGCAGGTATAACCTGATGATGGAGTAAGTGACTTCACCTACAGCGATAATATGGCAGGTGAGGCTGAAAATGATACCATGATGAAACTGCGACGGAATCAGCTATTAGTCGTAAATCCCACAACTTTAGAACCATTAAGAGCAGTACGAACATTTCGCACTCGAGCCGGTTCAAGATGAGCAGGGTTAGTGTCCCGAAGAGCCCAGTAGCCGTAGACCATGACACATACTCCAATGATTGAGTCCCACCAGACCTTGTACCAAGTGACAGTGAAGCTAATGAGGTTAATAGCCAGAAGCACTAGTGCTAACTGCTTGCACGCTGGTGCAAACTCGAGCGTGTGCGGTGCAATAGCGGCTTGACTTCCTCGCTTTGTCGCCATCGCTTGTTCAGTACTTGTAAATACTTTGATAATGGATACGATTCCAGGACATTGGACGCACTTCCGACCGCTGGAGGAAGATACGCCCTGTAGACTGATATCTTGAAGAGACACAACGATTTCAACAGGATTCGAGTACCGATTGGCCAGGGATCACTGCGTGATGACAAAGCTTGAATATCACATCAAAAAGGTACTCCAAGTATCGATATAACTACAAGTGGAGCAGATACTCAATTGGATACAGGCCAGGTTTCCTTTGTTGTCTACTTCATTTTCAACCTAAATCAAGATGTCTATTTCGAGTTGCTAATGTGTGCAAGCGCCTTCCTGGCCTGAATTTCTGGCGACAAATATCCACGCTTTTCATAATTGGTGTAGTACGTGAGCTTCTTAGGATTTGGACGCGCTGACTGTGGAAGCGTCTCAAATTTGTGCGGTTTAAGCAGTGCACGTAGAGCCAAACGATTATAGTAGACGGATACGATACTGCCACCATTGGCCTCGACGGCTTCGATTGCTGATTTAGAGGCCTGGGAAACTTCAATGTCCAGTTTCGTCGTAAAATACTGACTTCCGTTACCCAATAGTTTAATGCCATGCTTGACACGAGAGCACGTCACAAGTCCTGAGTCAACGAGACTCTTCATCGTGATTTTTTTGTTTGCGTCAATGCGACCCATATCCACCCAAAGCTGCAGCTTGTCCAGGTTGACAGTCTCCATTGGTGTCGCAAACTTATTATTAAAGCCACGCTTAGGCACGCGCTGATACAGCGGCGTTTGACCACCCTCAAATCCGGGTCCGCGACCAGAGCTACCGCCTGAGCGCGCTTTCTGTCCCTTATGTCCACGACCTGAGGTTTTGCCTTTGCCTGAGCCGATACCGCGACCCAGACGCTTTCCACGTTTGTGCGCCCCATCGTTGTCGCGCAAATTGTTAAGACGCACAGCTTCGAAAGGAGGGCAAGATGCAGCTGAGCTTGCGAAAGCCACGCGTGCACTTTGAATGGCAGGCAGCGCACGTTCTATCGCCTTTAGACTCCACATTATTGAATAAAAGTAATTCGAGACAAAGTATTCAAGCGGAATTAATCGAGCCACGGCACCACGTTTTTTACACACAATCAAAAGGTATCCATGTCATCGAACAACGTCGTGGGTATCACGCTCCTGGATAAGCTACCTGACCTTTCTTACAATGCAAGCGACGACAGCTCCAGCTCGCTGCATACGTACTTCTCTGGGTCTTGGGGCCTTCTGTTCTCTCATCCGGATGACTTTACGCCCATCTGCACCACGGAGTTGGGTGAAGTGGCACGACTGGAAAACGATGGTGAGTTTGCTCGGCGACACGTCAAGTTGTTGGCGCTCTCATGCAATGATGTGGCTAGTCATAAGCGATGGATCATTGATATCGAGAAATTTTCAAACGCCAAGGTTAATTACCCCATTGTAGCGGATACGAGCCGTTGCATTGCGACGCAGCTGGGTATGCTCTCACAAGATGACTTGGACCATGGTGGACTACCGCTTACAGTGCGAACTCTGTTTGTACTGGATCCGCAAGTCCGTGTACGTTTGATGCTTACGTATCCAGCCAGCACAGGTCGTAATTTTGGGGAGATCTTGCGAGTGCTGGACTCGCTGCAGCTCACGGATCGACAAAAAGTGTCAACACCGGCGAACTGGAAGCAAGGCCAGCGTGTATGTATCAATCCTCTAATATCGGCGGAGGAAGCTGCTGTTCGCTATCCAGATCTGCTTGTTGAACAACTGCCTTCCTGTAAAAGTTATTTACGCTTCACGAACAAATATTAGTAGTGTGGCCGTCTCAGCAGCATGAGTGATTTCTTTTGTGCACAGTCATTTGGTAAATGTAGCCTTCAATCTTACAGATTGCGCATTTGTTGTCTGCAGATAAGATGTTCGTTGAATGATTTCATGTATAATGTATAATGAAGTAGCTGCCTAAAATTATTTCCTGCTTTGTCCAGCCAGTAGCATGCTCTCTCATCAAACCCGGTAATACCACGATCGAGAACTTTGCTATACACATTTAATGATAGTCCGTTTAGCTTTATATTTGATTAGTTTGAAAATGTTGTTCGGAGCAGTGGCGATTGCGCTAGCAGACAACTTTTGGCGGCAATAACAACAATACTTGCGCCTTTTATCAATGTCCGAGGGCCAGGAATACGGGATGCGATTTGTTTAAAAAACAGCCTAGTTACATTTTTAATGCATGATGATCGCGACAACCTTTACACATCAAGGGTGCAGCACACCACAGGTCGATCTATACAAGAAGCTAAATCTATACCATGGGTGGACAAGCGAACTGCTGCATTAATGCTTTGATGTGACCAGGATAAGTGTACCTACTGAGTTATCTTCCAATAGATGTTGTTTCTAATTCTGATGTCCAAACTTCACCAGTTGGAACTGCTATCAGTCAATAATCGTGGATCTTTCAGCGACTACTTTGACATAAAAACAAATAAATTTGTTGCTCGAGAGATGCTTCAACTTTAAGCGAGGTGGACTGAGAGACTTGAAAATCGAACCGGGGAATAGGTGCGATTTCCAATATTCTACATACAAATAACATATTGGAAATCGCACCCGGTATCTGCAACAAGTGACAAAACCATTCGTAACATTCCGGTTGCAGCAGAAGAAATTAAATCTCGATCAATTCATACGGAACTTAAAATGAGAGAGAAGATCATTGAACTGGGAAACCACAGCACTCAGCATTAAGATAAATTTTTCGAGTTCATTAAAAGTTTCCAAAGGCTATCTATTGATATATTTAAGAACGACACCCCTTTTTAGGAGTCGTGTAAGCCATGTCAAGCACGTGCTGTATATATATTCATTACACTCTAACCCCTCTCTACCCGGCCCGGGGATTGAACCCTGGACCTTCCGGTTTTGAAGTGAACAGCATACCACTGCACCGCAGGATCGGTTTTCAACAGAACGCTGCCGTTACTACACGTGAACCCGTCGACATTTGCTTCAGGCAAATGCGAGTTCCTGAACGGAGTATGTTTGTCAGTGGTGGGATTTAAACCCACGAGTGCGAATACAGTAGAAATTGAGTCTACCCCCTTAGACCACACGAGCACACTGACTCAAAGGCTATCTATTGATCTGTCGTATTCAATCGTGATAGTAAAACAAAACATATCGCGAAAACGATGAGTCCCTAGCGAGATGGGCTAGCTCCTGGAATCTCGTGCGAGAAAAGGGTTGCAGTCCATTCGTATTAACGACGTAGACAGTAATGCCGATAAGAAACGTCATCATACTTTAGAGACACTGGAAAGACTACTTAGAATATGACCCAAGTTGCTTCTATAACGAGGATGAAACAAGTTATTGTTTTGTTTGTTGCGTCGTAAATCTGTTATCCTGGGAAAAGATTAAGGAATATGACCCAAGCTGCGTCAATAACATAAATAAAACTGGTTATTTTGTTCGCTGTCTTGCTATTCTAAGTGATGCTCACCGAAGATTTGCATACTGCCCTAGGCATGAAAAACTTCAGAGAGGGAGTTACGCTCATTGTACGTTGCAATTCAACGGGGCTGGGCCATTTCTTGTGGTAATGATCGGAAAAGCAATGCACCAGTCTGTATATCTGGGCGACAGTGGTCATTGCTAGCATTTAACAAAAGAAGGCAGGGGTCAACCTTTATCGTGTTTACCCAGTGGTTCAAGTAAGAGCTCAAAACATTTGTTCGCGGCTGAACAGACCAGAATGTTGATTCGATTCTAAAGATGTACCTGGGCATTCTCAACCTTTGAGAAAGGCGGAATAAGGGTTACACTTCTTCCTCCAAATGCAACACAGTGGAAACAGGCAATGAACATGGAAATTCTCGCTGCGGAGAAAAAGCTTAACAGGTTCATGCTGATAAATATAATGTATTCTTTCTTAACATGATCTGACAATCATCCCAAATCCGTTTGTAAAAGATGCTGCCAAATTGAGACAAGGCGTAGTGGGAGAGGGATTTGAAAGACCAGCTCATTTACTGGGCGCGGATAATCACGTTGTCAAAGCATGGAGTGCTATATCAGCGGAGGCATTGAAAAACTGCTCTGCAAAAGCAAAAATAATTCCTGAAATCGTGCAAGAAAACAAACAATTGATGAAAGACGGAGCGAGGACAGCGCAGAAATTATTTAGTCTAGGTGACGGACAACTGCACCATTGAACCTCAATTAACCGGTTTGAAATCCTTCGCATCTCTCAGAACAGCTACGTGAGAGTTTGGACACAAATAAACCTGATTCTATCAACAAGCGGTTATTGAAGTTGGATGACTAAGAGGAACAGAAATGATGAAGTGCTTTCGGGTGCTTAGTGATATTGCCAAATTGCAACGGGGCTGTGGTGCTCTTTGCTTAGAGGAAGCTAAGCTAAGGTCATCGAACTTACGTTCTTTACAAGAACAAGTACGAGTGCAGCGGATCGCAATACGCTGCCTCCAAGAGTCCTTAAGACCTTAACCAAGCTAAAGAGACTATTCGCTCAAAATTACAACTGTTTTGTATTATTTTAGTTGCGGCAAAGCCGCCAATATCCAAAACCCTATTTTTTGTCAATAGAGTAATACCTAAGTAATATAGCAGAACCTAAAAAATATGCATCACTACTGGCAATCCTGCCACGTTCTGGCTTCATTGTACGGTGTAGCCAGATTACACCAACTTGTGTAACCCATACCTATGTACGGTCACATAATCTTGTGTGACCCGCCCTTTCATACAAAGGTACGAGTAATCCCGTCACACACCCCCCCAAATACAATTGTCAATTCACATTTAACGGTCGCCCCAACGAGACTCGCGTGTCTGCCATCACGTTCATAAAAACAACTTTAAACCCTCTCCGCTCTATGAGCACCGTGGCTACGGCACGCAAAACACCCAGTCTAGCTGGTAGCGAGGGCGCCCGCAGGCAAATCCTGTCTCATTTTCTGCACAGGATGCATCTCCGGACAGTACGTCTGCGGCTTTGCGGGAAGCAAATCTCGAGCCCTCGGCAACTGAGCGCGACACAACGCGCCAGCTCCGGGCGACGGATTTCCTCGTCGAGGATAAAGAGGAAGCCGACTACGAGTCGGATACTCCTTTCCCAGCATAAAATGACGAGAATAGGGGCGCGACGGAAGACCAGCACAAAAATCTTGCAGACACCGTGTCCGTTCCCCGACTACGGACTTTCGGTGGAAGTGGTTTTGTTACCAATTGCCTCGACGAGGCACAGGAGCAGCAACTGGAAACTGCCCACAGAGTGGCTCTCATGCGCTCGAATCCACGTAGGGTCCTGGTCTCTCGTGTGAAGTACGGATTCCGCTCGGCGGATCTCACTACTGAAGCAAGAGACGCGATCACTCGATTGTTAGGAATCTACGTAGCTGGGCCCCTGGCCACTACACAAGCTGAGCTTGATCAGCGAAAAGCTCTCCGAGCTCGCCTATAGTACCACAGGAATTACCAATGAATAGGTACCGCGCTCAACTTTGAGCTCAAAGAGGAGGGGCTCCTGTACCCGAAAGCGAACTATTTCTGTGGTGCTCGCCCCTGACAAAACCGCTGCAGATGACGATGTAGCTCTTTGAGCGATTGGTGTAGCGGCAACGGAAACTTTTTTCACTGTCTACCTTACAGCAAAGCCAAAAAGAAGTAAAAGTGCACCTTGAGCGCCATCCTAAATTTGAATTTGCCAGACTCAAGTCGCAACGCCAATTTCCTACGTATTGTCGCCCTGCGACATATATCACGCTCCCGCGATTATGTGGTTTCTCACACGGGTGAGTCTACGACCTCAGCAGCTCAGGGCCAAAGCTTGATCTCAGCTCATGGCCATCCAGCTTCCTGGGTTACCGCCGAGAAGCGCGGGATGCAAAGGGTCACGATCACTTTGATCATAAGCATCAACGACGTCTGGGCAGTCTTGCTAAATGAGCACCTCACACTCCAACGAGCTCTCGGAGTTTGGATATCCCCGCCACTTCATCAGATTAGACACTGTCGGCGACGTCGTCCGCAAGGCATTCCAGGTCGTAGTGGACGTCACCATTATCATCGAGAAGAGTCGGCGGCGGGCGATGACGACTTGGTCGGTCGCCGTCCGGGCACTCGTGATTCTCTTCGATCGTTGGAGGACAAAGTCCGTCGTCATTGGCATTCTGTTTATCGCTGTGCAGAAGACCTTGAGAGCCTGAAGTACTTTATACACCAACTGCCTCACGTTGAGAATTATCGTGCTCTATCGGAGCGGCTCCTAGCCGTCGAGCAGACGAATACATCACTTCGTGCGACGGTGGAGCACATTGCGCCGTTGAAAACGTAATTTTTTTGCTTTTCATGCTAACAGCCAGTTGCTGGTTTAAGGTTTAGGTGGGCGAACGCCTTTGAGCGCCGTCCCGTCGCCAACGCTCCCGCGTTCACTTTCGAGGTATCCGGTATGGCTTGATCAAGCCCACATTTTCTAAACCGGGTGGGTGCGCATCTTTCGGAAGAAACAGCGAATACGCAAGGCCTCGCTTGGCCACAACTTTAATAGAACTAATAACTCGTGGACGGTGCTTTGTCTTAAAGACAGCAGAGACTGCATGTGTCGGAAGGTTTTTAGCATTTGATGAAACCAGGTCTCCGACCTCAAAGTTTTCAAAATTTCTTTTGCTTCTTCCGTCTGCAAATTCTTTCTGCATGTCTTGGCTTTCACTCATCGCATCGCAAACATGTCGAAGGACACTCAGTCTGGTTGACAGAGAGTCGTCGACTTCTTTACTAACAGT